ATTTGGTCCGTAGACGGACACCTCAACCACGTCGTTAAAGGGTTAATCTAACAGCAAGGCTGATGGAAAGTGGCCTATATACCTACAACCACTACACTCCTCCCCCTTTTTACTTTTCAGAGCTAGCCAGCTCTCCTGAATGTCACTCCCTGCTTACCGCATGAGTCCGTCAAACACTTCTGACACCATTTAAGTAAATTAGGAGGCAGAAAAATACCAAGGGTCCAACCGGGTTTTGAACAACACACCTCTTGGTCCGTAGGCGGACACCTCAACCACATCGCTAAAGGGTTTACCCAACAGCAAGGCTGTTGGAAAGTGGCCTATATACCACTGCACTATATTGTGCATGACCTCCAGAACGGCAACTATTCGGCAACTGAATAATTGTTTTACCAATACAGTTGTAATAGGTCGTCCATTTTTATTTTAATGCTATATGCAGTGAATAATAAGTAGTAAGCCGTAAGCAGTTGACAGTAAGCAGTTGACAGTAAGCAGTAGGCAGTCAACATTTGGCAATTCCATAGTATATTGATTCATTAATGTTCCCAAAGAAATATTGAGATAAATATAAAAAGTTATGAAAGTATAACAATTCTGTCATAAACCTAAATCAATACACCGCATAGTTACGAATATCGATCAACAGATCAATTGGGTATTATTTAATACTTACATGTAGTAAAGCCTATCTAGTCAGATTATGAACAGGTATAATATAAAATATATATTAAGATATAGTTCCCCCTTTGCATTAACAAGCGGTTTGCTCAGTTATTTCAAATAATATATTAACAAATATACATGTATATCCAAATGTTTTTGTTGATGCATTTTGTGAAAAAGACAACCTCAAAGAGAAAGTTTGATCTCACACCCTGGTCAGTGGTTGAGAACCAAATCCATCCCTTTTATCAAAAACAGTTTCTATGGCCATATAAGGTTTTTGCCATAGACCGCGAAATACAACTTTTGTTTGGTTACTAGGATATGTTTTCATGTGTAAATGGTATAAACTTTAAATGAAGAAGAAGAAGAAGAAGAAGAACGTTTATTTCACTTAAACTACAAGTTTCTCGTGATTAACATATATACAAGCATACATATATAATGACATGAAAAATACAATGACATGAAAGTAAACATAATAATTATATTGGATGGACAAAACAAAATAGAGATGACACAAATAATATGAAATTAGGCAAAGCCTATGAACGGGGAAGTCGGTAAAAAAATCCTTTCATTTTTCCGTTTTAAAGGTGTCATTCGGTATTATATGTACCCACTTCCGTTTTCACTCGGAACACTCGACGAAATTATTAATCCGAAAAGTTGAGATTTGTTACGTTATCGGAAATACACGCCTTTTTATCATTGAGATACATTGTAAATGGCGGCGCGTATCTAGAACTGACACTGAAAATTTCATTGATAGGTATAGAACTCTATATATTTTTTAATTGTTTTTTATTTGAATTTTCTTTTAAATATACACGTGTAGTCTATAGCCGGGCAAGCCAAAGCCCGGGCCCGCTTCGCGGGCCCGGACTTTGACTTCCCCGTATTAAAGCATAATGGATATTACATACACAATAGTATACACAATAAAACTTTTCATTAGTTGGTTCTGTTAGGTATACATAAAAGTAGGTTGAAATACATATCTAAGCATTAATAATCTGATATCTTAATTTGAAAGCTTCATTAATATATTTACAAAGCATAAGTGTTTCTTTATTTTTATCACTTTTTAATAATTGAGTAAACTTAAACATACTTGGTCTATTTCTATAATAATTCTTAATATATATATTTCTTAAACTTTCATATTTTAATGTTTTAACACTTACTTTTTGTTTCAGTTCCATCTGTTACTTTCCTACCAAGTGCGACATTTAGCGTCAAGGGATTGCGACATTTAGCGGCAATCGATTTTTGTGCGACATATAGCGGCAACGTTGCGACATTTAGCGGTAGGCGATTGCGACATATAGCGTTGATTGCGACATATAGCGTCAGCGTTGCGACATTTAGCGTTAGTTGCGACATATAGCGGCGTTGCGACATATAGCGTTGCTACAACCAGGATTTCATTTTAAAATTGTTGAACAGTAGGAGCAGTAGTCCAGTGGTAGGACGCGCGCTTAGGGATCGAGAGGTCCCGGGTTCGAACCCCACCAGGGGCACTGCTAATTTCCTTGAGCAAGAAATTTACCTGCGATTGCTTCACTTCACCCAGGTGTAAATGGGTACCTGCGAGGGTGGTATAATTCCGTTGCGCCAAGTGTCGCTGGCACTAAGCGGAGTTAAAAAGACTCCCCAGGGAGATTGATAGATAGATACCAGTAGCCCGATGACCAGGGGTAATAGCTGTAAAGTCGGTGAACGTGCGTAAGCATGAAACTTAGACTATAAAATGCAATTAGCTTTACTTTTGTAAACAGTAATTATTTTAATTGCCTTTTATTGGTTTTACATAAGATTTAAACTAGATATGTACCAAGGTAAGTTAATATGTTAGAACTGTCAATACGCGATATGCTGAGTTATCTGGCCTTCTTAATGTACAAACAAAGTGTATAGTTAATTTTATCAAGCACGTTGTTTTTCTAAGTTAAATGGACATCTGTTTGTAAAAGAAAAGAAAATGAAAACAAGTTCTTTATGACTGACGATGACAGAAATTTAATACATGCTTTGTCGAAATAGTTAAGCATCTATCAACTAAACTAAAGAGGCAAAAGTTGTGTGTTTGTGGATTTTTTCAAAACATCACTTATAATATTATGTTAATATTTTGAGATATTATTACCATGGCTTATAAGTAAATGACAACAAATTACCTGGCTCGATATGATATTGTCTTGCGTTTGACAGAGAATAATCTGACTTGATGTAATATTAATGAAATAACAGTTGACTGGGTAGTTTTCTCTTTTCAGTAGCTGTTTATTTTTGGTGTCCTGTTAAATTGAAAAAGAAAACTCATTAGCCTTAAATCTAAGCTACTTTTGCATTTTAAGTAAACTTAAAGCAATTAAGTAATTTCTATGGAAGGCAAAATATAATTTTGTTTACTTTTTTACTACCTTTATCACATTTTTTTTACATTCAATACATTTTTATTGATGTATTAACAAATGTTCTAAATTAGTTATGACAACATTATTTAACAAATAAAACATGGGCTTAAGGGCAATATGCAAGTTTACGGACTGGTTGGTCAGACTGAGGAAGGTATATGGCCCGAAGCGCAGCTGAGGGCCATATTCCTTCCGAGGTCTGACCAACCAGTCCGTAAACTTGCATTTTGCCCGAAAGGCCATGTTTTATTTGTTATATTATACCGAATCTAAATCCTTTCATCCATTTGTTTTGTGCTGTCATTTTACTATAATTTGCTGTTAAATAATAATTTCATTGTTAAGTGTGTGAACTATCTCAAACTGTAGTCGGATTTTGTTTTATTATTTTCAAGCGATGCAGCAAATAATCATGCTCTTCTTTTTAATATTCCATTTTTGTTAATCAAATTAAATATTTAATGTTACTAGGCAAAAAATCAGGACTTTAAGAATTTCACTAAGTGTATAAATAAAATTTTCACAAACTGTATAAATAAAATTTATAATTAAATTAAAGACAAATCATGACTTTTGATCAACATGTAATAAATTTATGTCTGATAAAAAGGCGATTTGCCTGGCCATTTTGACAGTTATCGTCTGATTCTTGTGTCGTCGTAAAATTCGCACGTCGTGAAAGTTACGTTAAAACGGTCTTCATAAGAATTATGGACCGCCCCGGTCTGTATGTGGTTTATGGACCGGATGACGTCATATTAAATATAGAAGAGCATATGCAAATGAGGTATAATATAAATGCATAATTGCCCTTTCTCAGGATGTAAACATATATTTTCAGGGCTCAAGGTGCCTTCAAAGAACATATTATTTTACACTGCAGTCTATATAACACTGTTTGTGCCTATCATATAGACTTATAAATAAACAATTTACAATAAACCTAACATTGTTTGTTTTAAAAATTCATTACGAATCAAAACAAAAAATGTATTCTTGAAGTCGTTATTTCTTGATTTAAGGCAAACAAAACACGTTAACTTAAATTCACTATTGGCTCAGATCATAAAAAGGGAAAATACTGCAAGTGAATTTTGTTTTTCCAGAAATGACACTATCTATAATTATTAAAATAATCTTTAATTATGTCTAGTTTCCTTTTTATTATGAGTACATGTATAACACTATCATCGCGAGATCTTGAAGTTTTCATTTATTTGCTTGTTATAGATTCGGTTCGAAAAGACTAAGTTATAACAAATTGAAAGGATGAAATTGCAATATCACTGCCAAAATGTGATGCAGAAAAAACGTTTAAGCAAAGTAAATTCATTACACGATTCAACGGGTTAAAGGGTAAGCCAAGGATTGGTGTTTGAATAAACTTTATCAATGGAAATTTACGCAAAATTGATTATTTGATTTCATTTACTTAAATTAATTTTATCACGGTATTTAAAGTGGCTTTATGTGAGATATCAACCCATTAATTACTCAATTAAAGAAAAATAAAACAACGTCTCGACATGCTTGTTTAGTTAATGATAACCTTTTTTATACAGATTTCTGTGGCTGTTAATGCAATAATCTCGCGAGATACGAAAACTAAATATATGAGAAAATATTTATCACAAACCTTAGTCCTACCAAGTTTAATCTATTATCGCTGAAGTAGAATTAAGTCTTCTTTAAGCATGATTAAACCGCCAAAACTGCTACCCGATAAATTATATAGACATTCAACTTATCTGTACAGTAAATAATAGATAGAGGTTTTCTATTCAAAGATTTTCGTGTTATAAAAATGTATTTTATTGAAATGCGCTAACTTTCAAATCAAATAATAAAGCCACGATCAAATTTATATATAGATGTCAAATAATATATCAAAAGTACTAGGTATATATAAGCGTAGTGTGTTGAAAAACACGGTGATATTGCGTTTTACATTTAACCTGTGTTTATTTTAGCCGTTGAAGGTATACGGTAAACGCTAGTAATAATTAAAGTCAATATAAACTTTAAAAGCAACCGTATTGACTGCTTTTTACAAATGAAGTTGGATATTTGGTGTGTTTATTGAATTTTTAAAACTCCGTGGTGCTTTCACAGCTATATAGACGATAACAAAATGAATTAACTTGGCTGGATTCTGCGGGTAAATATAAGTTTTTAATAAAAACAAGGCATCGATCTAATTTGTAGTTTTAATTTAATTTTTCTTGCGAGTGAAATGAACATTTAGAGGGAGTTTAGCCGTTCATTGTTACTAAAATTACAATAAAATAAAAAATAGTAATTAAAATAAATAAATAAATAAATAATGAAAAGTGAATAAATAAAAGAGCTTGATATTTTAATAAGAAAGTAAACTTTTTAATAAGTGGTGTTATTAGAATGGATTGTATGTATTGCAAAAAAGGTAATGCATAGTAATTATGAAAACTGTATAATCTTGCTATATTTCGTAAACAGGTAAAGAAAGGTTAGTATTTGTTAGTCGGAATTAACTGAATTAAGTTTGTCTGGCGCGGCGCAGCAGTGAAACTGATTTAATGGAATCAATGCTGACATCACAATCACTGATTTACTAATTGGTTGAAGTTAGAATCTCCACATATTGCAACTGTTATACGCCGATTTAATGGGATATTATGTGATAACAAGTTGGTGCTGATTAGAAAAAATTACATGTACATTGTAATTTAAGATTTGGTGAACGGTCCAATTGGACAAAAAAAATTTCAACCAGAGAAGAATAATGTAAGCGAAATGTATTATATATACATGTATATAGCTTAATGTTTACACAGTCAGCATAGTTTCCATAAAATATGCCGCACTGCCGCACCAGACAAATTGTATTTTTATAAAACACTGACCTATATATATTGAATGAAAAGTTATATTTGACACAACTCAGTAAAACTTAAGGAATATTTTTCTCCATTTCAGGATACCTCCCACAACGAATTAAATTGCCAGTAGGAACTTATACAGATATGTTTTCAACAGTAAGGCGACAAAGACGTCCGCTCGGCTTTTATCAGCCGGAAAGCAGGCTCGAATTGCAAATGGAAAAGGCAACATTCAGAATGCACTCTGAGATACTTAGAAACCTTTGTGATAAACAAATGAGGCATCGACAGACGCAACAAATGATAGAACACGGAACTTTACCACTACCCTCGAAAGTCTCCCAAATGAATATCTCAACTCACTCACGATATACAAAAAGTCAGAATAATAATGCACAATTGCCACCGGAAATCCGATGGCTTTTAACAAGAAGTGCGCGCATGCAGCGAGCAAACAACGCGGGCTTTTCAAAATTTAGAAATCCCGTTAAAGTGAGAATTGTTTCAGCTGGTGGGCAAAGAGGTCAAAATACAATGTCTCTGGAACGCCAGCGCTCCATGTGTTCTCGTTTCGAAGGTTTCGATGTTTCCGGTGACAAAAGACTTCAATGTGATGTTTTAGGTCCGGATAGCTGCACCGATTGCACAAAAGTGCTAGATAAACAAATTGTAATGAGAAAGCAAAGAAAAGATTTCCCACGTCTTGAATGTCATACCAGATCTCTTGTTGCCCCAGATAAAGTAGAAAAACTATATTTGAATCATCCAAAGGAACTTTTCCACCCAGATAAAACTTACGCGTGTGGCTGTACAGTTGATCCAAAATTTGAAATCACTACGCCAATAGTGTATACACCCCATGAAGTGTTTGAAAGAATCCGAAGGCGGAAGAATATTGAACGCGGACAGGAACTGATACGTCAGGAAAATGAACAATTACGTCATCATAACAACACTCCTACAAGAATCCCTCTTTACGAGGAAAAAACAGAACCACCACTCGATATGAAAGTTTCCGTCACTTTTAGGACCGATGGATTAGATTGAAACAAAATTTAACGTTCTATACATCGAATTTCGACAAATTCACTCAAAAGATTTACACTCATTGTTAAGAAACTTTGTGACCTGAAATATTAATATTTGGATTTATTCGGGTAGTCAGCTGAGTTGTACAGAGGAGGAAAGAGACTCTTAAATAAGTATAAATAATAACATGTTTTAGTTCAATGATTTAAACATGTAAAGTCTAATGGAAAATCTGTAGGAAAGTCTGAAGGAAAGGAGGATCATTGAGAGCACCGGCAACAAAATGACTACCTGAAAATAGAAGAATATTTTTGATGGAGACTGTAATGAGAATACATTAATAGATGTAGTGCAGCATATGTCACGTCCATACCCTTTACCTTATACAAACGCACCATTGTATCAGTTTAAACGGTATTCAAACTGCACGAAAGGCATTTGGATCAATTGTCCTTTATTCTGAAGGACTAAAATAAAACAACACACACAGATGTATGACGGGCTACTTTTCGGGTCGTATTTTATACTTCATCGCATTTGAATCATGATTTTATCAAATTTAAAACGTCTGACATTCTAACAATAGTTGGCCTTGAAATCTATATGTTGTTTATATATTCCCACGTTTCACTGTTCAATTTATTCCTTTTTTTGTATTAGCCATAGTCATTTTTCACTGTCGGAATATTTACAATGTTATGATAATATTTTAATATTGGTTCATGCATTCTTTTATTACTTGAAACATTATACCGTGAGTTTAATTATCTATCGTAACAATTTGTGTTTGTAAGGAAGTATTCAAATTAAAATCTTTCACGTTTGAATTTGAAATAAATTTAATTAAATTTGTTCAACGTTGAAAGATTTCCAATCTCATTTGAATTTTTGATTTATTCTCAGATTAGAAAAAAATGTACGTGTTAAAGAAATTGTAAGGCAGAGAACGGTGCACAATTTGATTGAGATCTGTGATTTTATAAAATAAGTGTACACACAATGGCGACACAACAACACGGAACTGATTCAGTTAGTACAAAACTATAAACAAATAAATGATTGAAAAAGAATGAGAAGAATTCGGCGTCTTCAAAAATAAAGAAATAGAGGATATTGAATGAGTGTAAGTTAGTTTAATACTGAATTTATTGAACGTGTTGAATAAAAATATGTTATACGAGCATAATATTATTCCATTCAACGAGTTCAATAAAATCAGTAATGAACTTACACAAATTGAATATCTGATTTATCACATACCAAAAACAATGACAATTTGAAGTGAAAAAGAACCATTTTTTATTGGCGCGCCTTTAGTGTAACGCTAAAATTTAGCGCGTCTTAACGCTATTTTTGTATATCGCATATGACGTCACGTCAAAATATATTCACGGCCGTTCAATACCATTTTTACGGAGTCGCAAAATCGGGTATGTGATAAGTTATCGTACATGTATATTCTAACACGACCCGAATTTTTCACTATTGAATATAGAAGAACCGAAAGTGTGTATTATTATGCAATAAAGCCACAGTTGACGTTCTATATTTAGATATGACATGTGACGTAATCATTATACGATAGTGAAAACGCGAAATCACGAAACTACGATGGTGAAAACGCGAAAGTACGATGATGAAAACGCGATAGTACGATGATGAAAACGCGACAGTACGATACTACGATGATGAAAACGCGATAAACTATCGTGTTTTCACCATCGTACTGTTGCGTTTTCACCATCGTAGTTTCGTGATTTCTCGTTTTCATCATCGTACTGTCGAGTATCGCGTTTCAGATCAAACCATTCATAGGCGATTGCCCTAACGGCATTCCGTTACGGCGTTTTCATCATCGTACTTTCGCGTTTTCATCATCGTACTTTCGCGTTTTCACCATCGTAGTTGCGTGATTTCGCGTTTTCACCATCGTACTATCGACTATCGCGTTTCAGATCGACACATTAATAGACAATGGCCCAAACGGCATTCCGTACTATTGAATATAGAAGAACCGAAAGTGTGTATTATTATGCAATAAAGCCACAGTTGACGTTCTATATTTAGATATGACATGTGACGTAATCATTATACATGTGACGTAACCACTAAAAGAATCGGACTCACTGTAAATAAGTACGGAAACAAATCAGGCGCAATTTTGCTTAATATCATGTACGGCAGCATTTATTTGTTGATGTCGTTTTAGAATCGGTGATTTCATCGCTTGATAACATCACTGTTTGTTGTTCTGATGCGCATCATTATATATCTCGTGCTACGCCCTCGTGATATAATTCGTCGCATCCGAACTCCAAACAGTGATGTTATTGAGCGATAAAATCACTGTTTGGGATATATTATTTCTTAAACATATTAACTTTCACCTTAAGTATAATTTAAACATACATGTATTTATTCCCAATACTTAAAATATATATTTTCATACAAAGAGCCAATACAATGTAAACATTTTTACATTATGGAAAAGGATAAGCAAGAAAGACAACTCTTATAGTATTCTTTTCAATAGGCGGACGGTGTGAAGACAGTTTAGGGCTGTTCGAAGAAGGTTCAATTTTTGCAAATAACTGAAAGCAAGAAAGAATTGTAGTATAGAGAAGTCCTTAAGGGGTATTGCTATAACATTCAGAATTGAGATGTATTAGGACTTGGGATTAAGAATAAGAGATGTTCGTTTGATTTGTTTGACTGAGTATTGTAGAAAATTTGTGTTTGTACATCTATCCGATAATGATTCCTTATTCATTTCTTTAGTGAAATAGGTTTGCTTGCTCCTGATGCAATACGCGTGCACTCATTTTGAATAATATCGAATTGTTGAAGTTCGTATTTGATACAATTACACCAAAGTACAGCACCACATTCCAAAATTGATTATATGAATATAATGTGAATAATTTCTCAAGATCAAACTTCAATTTATGCATTATGCTGGCCCTTTATCTGCAATATATTCGACGTGTAATGCCGAGAATTCCCAAGCTTGTTAACCACCTGGTTGTATGTCCGATTGTTTCTCTATCAGTGAGCTACTTTATTTATTATTAACACAATAAAGATTCTGATATGCCTGCATGTTTAACTTTTGAAAGGAGATCTTTATGCCAAACTCTGTCAAATGCTTTACTGATGTCAAAGCTTCAAGGCCGTGGTCACTTGTCAAGGACTTTACAAAGAGTATCGTAGATGAATACTTACTTATTTACTATAGATTCCACAGGTATAAAACCACCTTCTTATTTGATGATAATCAATGATGCATCATTTTTTGTATATATTTGACTCTTTTATGTAATGAATAAAAACACATTTATTCATTATTTGTGTCAGAACGTCGTTATGTACCAGCATTTCTCCGGTATCAGACATTTTATTCATAACAATTAATTATTTACTGGCAACATGATTCATACCGTACAACATTCATTAATTCATTAATGTAAGAAATATTATTGGTCTCATCGGTATTAATCGGCTATGTAACACCATTTGGAGATTTTATATGGAGGAATTGACCACGAAGGCCGTAGACCTGAGTGGTTAATTTCTTCGTATCAAAATGTAAATTAGCCGATAAACACCGCTCAGACCGATTTTATTTCGATTCTAACGTGACAAAATAAGGGAGACCACTAAGGCTATTTTTATCCAGCGATTTTCCGCAGTCGCGCAAGCCTCGTTACCGCCAATTGAGCGGGTCCCCTCAAAACGGATATTCCGATCCGATAATATTATTCTTCTTCTTTGTGTATGATGACAAAATTATGAGACATGTTTTAATTATTCGTTTGACTCAAGAAGTGCCTCACACGACTACAGTACAAGAATTACGATTACACTTCACATGCACAATTTCATACATTTTATGCAATGGATCAACAAACAGCAGACACCTGAGACTATGCGAGTACAGAGGTAGTGACGCAATTCAATAATTATGTCATTTCGACGACAACGTGATTTCATGAAATTTTCACTCGGCATGAAGGCACCCATAGTACTAACGTACTTGCATTCAAAGAATTTACGTGCAAAATTTCTAACGATCCCTAATTGGTCTAATACGTAACACTCTTTCGTCCACCTGTCACTTTCTAGTACCTTAGAAAATTTCGTTTGATGAAAATATTAACATGCATAACTTTGTTATATTCCGTTGTTCGTAAATGTCAGAATACGCTAGTTTTGTTTACAACTTCATTTGCAACTGGTAATAGAACATGGCAAATATTTAACAGAAAATAAAAATCAGAAAATCATCGGCGACCATTAGCAGACAAGCTACTTTTTAATGTTATGTAAAAGTGAAGAGAAGAGTACGTTGGCACAAAGGTGACATGTGTGTGTTTGTGTTTATTTAACTCGTGCGCACGAGATAGTTAAGTCTATGGAACGAGATACTTTGTCGTCGCCACGAGTTACTAAGTCGTGGGCGCGAGATAGTTAAGTCGTGGGAACGAGATACTATGGCGTGGCCACAAGTTACTAAGTCGGGACCACGAGATAATTAAGTCGTGGCCAAGAGTTACTTAGTCGTGGTCACGAGATAAATAAGTCGTGGGAACGAGTTACTATGTCGTGGCCACGAGTTACTAAGTCGTGGCCACGAGATAGTTAAGTCGTACGCCCGAGATAAATAGCCAATTAGGTTACACTATTGATATGAATTTTCCTAATTAACTAGACATGTGCTATAGTACAAGGATGCCCCTTCTTCCCCTGGCTGTAAAAGTGCCATTTATACAAGTTACTGATTGGTCAATGATTTTACATTTGGCGTCATTTTGACCCTTATTTTTGACCCAATGGCTTCAAATTATAAAATGTGATCTACCTATCTTTCTATGTTATATAAACTATGGCTTATTCCTTCTAAATCATTCATCAGACAAGGATTTTACATGAAGTGTCATGTTTACCTTGACCCTTGATAGGCTATCTACTGTCTATGGGCATTGTCCTTAACCAGGACTTATTCCTTCTCAAGTTATCGTATACATGGTATAAACAAGGTTAACAGGCCGTTGTACGTACAAACTGACCAATTCTATAATAGAACTGTCCCAACAAAGGGCTATAACTTACTGATGTATTGACCTTAGAAGGTGACTTTCTAATATGATCCTAAAGGCATGTATCAAGTTTAAAGTGAACCCTTCAGTATTTTCAAAGATTAATGTTGCATGTCAATCTTTAAACAGAAATTTTCTAAGTTTGAAAAAATTCAAAGTGTCATCTGATTGGTTAATTATCTCGTGCGCACGACTTAGTAACTCGTGGCCACGACTTAGTAACTCGTGGCCACGTCATAGTATCTCGTTCACACGACTTAACTATCTCGTGGCCACGGCATAGTATCTCGTGCACAAGAGATAAATAAAAACAAACGCATGTGACCTTTGTGCCACCGTAGTAGAGTAAAGAATTAAACAATTAATCATTAGAAACCAATTATTAGCACTTGGCTTATCGTTATAAAGAGTACCAGCCGACCAATCAAAAACAACGTTACGTAAAACATACATCATTAATTTGTAAACTACAGATTCGGACTGAATTTTTTCTGTAAAAAATACTAGTATAAACTAAAAAGGCGTTTTGTTATGAACATTTACCCGCTTTAAAATGGAATTGAATGGGAAACAACTTCTGCGCTAAACTTCTTGAATCCTCGAGTTCATGTTCACGAAATCGCAATTTCAACTTCATGAATTCACGATTTCATCATACATAATTCACGGTTTTAATTTCATGAATTCACGAATTAACCTTTGCGAATTCGGGTTTTTGAACTTCACAATTTTAACTTCGTGAATTAACGATTTCAGCTTCGTAAATTCA